CACTCGCTCTCTGTGCGAAGTAGCTCGAGTGGTAGCAAATGCCGATAGCAACCAACTATTGGTAAGATATCGACCGATCCCTCTTTAAGAGCATACTGATAGCGAGTTTGACTCCCTAGCAGATGCCAGTACTAATTTACTATCAAAAGAAGGATGAACTAATTGTAAAGGGATTGGTTGTCCCATCCGCGGAATCGAACCTTCGACCTACTGCATGACAACAATATTACTTCTTACTGCTCTACGTCCGCCCCCTATTTCATAAATTAGGAAGCCCAGGATTTCTGTGATTTCTTTGTAGAAAAAATTTTCGCAAAAAACGGCTTCCTATTTCAGTTAGGATCTCTTTATTCAGAAGTTTTGAAAAAAGGTTTTTTTTTTTTTTGCAAAAAAATTGTACCAATTAAGAACAAACCAGAACAAAAAACAGATTAGACAAAGAACAACAGTAAAAACAATTACGTAGATTTCATCTCTTGGTCAACGCGCGTTGCTGAGTAATCTCATCTGCTTCTACGTCTCCTCAAGCAGCTTTCTAAATTATGTAAGTAAAAAGTTGAAAACTAAACTTACCCGGTGATTCGGCTGCTGCTGTCTGACTTGATTTCTCAGCTTCAACGATTACAGGTTTCTTGTGTATCTCCGATGATGTATTTGAAGCTGCTTCCTCAGAAACACTGCTCACTGCTGGTGCATTGGTACTTGCTTCTGTAGTATGTTCTGATGGCAAAGATGAGGGCGTAGAACTGGTAGTAATATTGGTACCATTGTTACCAGTAAAACTTGTCGAATCAGTGGTTTTCAAATCATCGCTAACAGTTGAAGTAGGCTCGGATCCGGTAGCACTACTCGATCGGTCATCTTCAAGACGTGTTGGATAAGGCCGTGGGCCGGTTCCCCGATCATCGGCGGCAGGGTTTTCAGTGGTACTTCTGGGCGACGATGCTTGTTGCTCTGTTCCGATTGATTCTTCAGTAGATGTGGTTGCAAATGGATCCGCTGCTTTCACCTGAGGAAAGAAATGGAATTTTATATTTGAAAAATATGCTACTTATACAGACACACGTCTACGAGATCGCTGCAGACTTTCAGCTTTTTATCTTGTCTGATTCACGAAGTCGTCTCCCACCAAAGAAATCTGCATATTTTTGGGGTCTGTACGTGAGACCTGGGCGTGTGTAAGCGAGGATTTTAAAACGGAATAAATGCATGAAATATCCCATCGTTTCCGTATAAACAATTGCACTCTTTGTCAAATGAGCGGCAGCACACAGGGCCTCGTTACAACCATGCGAAAAAGTAAAATCTGATGGGCAGGGCATGTTACTCTTCTTATCAAAAACCGGTGGATGTGGCGCATTAGCACCAGTGCATGGTACCACGAGAAAAAAACAACTGGGTTCAAGAGAGGTGGCGCACATACATCAAACAGGTGGTGGGTGCTGACTGGAAGTATTTCGGGACCAAAATCGAAAGACCTGGAATAGCTGTGCTCGGTGTGTCAAAACACCCCAATAAAATCACTGACGTGAGATACCCACACTGATAACTACTCAATCGGTCCTAGGCCCTTGCTATATACACACGCCGTAAGGTGGTCTTAGAAGTACCACCCCTGCCTCTCAGTCAATCAATTCACTTACGTCTGTCAACGTGTATTGCAACTACGTGTCCGGCTGATTAGCCATGTGGCTAGTGCTTTAAAAGTACAGATGGGCAGCTTTCGTTTTAAGACCATTGGCTTGATGAAGCTAATTATGAAACCAGCCTAATTCAGGAAGTTCCTGGACCTCAAAGGCACTGACGCCAAAATCAAACGCCAAAAGTCACTTAGTATCCGTTCTTTCTACGAATGGCTGAGGCGCTGGAAAAGTAACAGTTTGACAATAGCAACCACTCGCCGGCAAGACGGTCGATGGTTCCGTCTTTCAAGAATAGCTAACAAGCAAGCTGATGGTGAGTTTGACTTCCTGGCATATGGCAGTACCAATTTGCCATCGAAATTAATGAACAAATCCTACAGGAATTTGCTTGTCTCACTTAAGCATAAATTTAGGGATCGATTATCCCACAATAGTAGGGATGAATTTGGATTAAATCACCCTAACGGCCCGGGGAAAAGACGTGGTGGTCACTCGGGCAGGCACATAAATAGTCAATAGAACTAGTTTAAATTATTTTAATAGTCAAAGACCAAATTAGCGGACAGGCGGATGGGCATGGAATGACCAGTGAAACTAGTTTTCATCACATTGTCAGTGGAATAAATCGGCGGATATGCGGACGGACAGAATAGATCGATTCCTACGAAGCGTCCATGAGAAAAGCTTACTTCCGGAGGTAAAGTGTCCTCTTCAGTTGTTCGGAATTCATGTGTTGGTGCTTCACTACTTTTCTGTTCGGATTTATCACCAGCGATCGTCGGTTCGTCGACTGACAGATCAGCTATTGGTTTTTCGGTTGTATCGAATGATTCTGTTGCACTTGCAGTTGCTTTCTGGCGATCTCGCCTAGAAAATTTTCGCTTTAGAAATCGCAAAAATTGAAGAAAACAGTAGCACCCTAAGGTCAAGATTCAACAGTTGTGTTGAAAGATTTAAAAATTTGAGTAAAATTAGACCATTTTAGAGAAGGGAGAATTTAGGTGGCTGTAAGAGCCGTTAGATAAAAATGGCTCTATACTCAGCTGAAACTTGTTCAATGCAAAACTGCAAAAGTTTTTGGGATTGAATGCTTAAATTCCCAAAATTTGAATAAAATTAGATATTACATTACAGCGAATGGAGGATTTGCGCAGTTAAGAGATCTGCTGAATCAAAAGAGTTGTAAGCCCTAAATCTAGCCCCACTGAAAAAGAATGATTATAAAAATTTCGGAGATGAAAATTCGAGCAAGGATTCACAAGTGATTAAGTGGTTATGCGGTAATTTTTAAACTTTACAAAGTTGATTTAAAAAAATCATGAATAATTTCAGTGTTCAATATCAATTTAATCAAGAAAAAAAGTCAAATTTCGCAAAGACTGCATTTAATTGCATTGTTTTCTCAGTGAGAGAAGGAACACGATGATGAAATAATGCTGATTAAAAGAAATCACATCAATTTTCCCACGAAAACACAACGGTTCTTCCCAAAACCTAAGAAAGTTCAAGTTGTTTGGCAGTATTTTTTTTTCATAAATTCCTATAAAAATCCCCGTTGTAAATGCATATCAAAATGTAAGTTGTTTATCTCAGGATTAGTGGTAATATGTCAAAGAAGTAATCGCTCTCGGATGGATTTATGGCAGATGACGACTAGTGATAAGGGGAAAATTTCTATTGTTTTCCCTCGGAACAACGAATGACCGGTTGAATTCATAAATCCCAGTACTGATCTTTTGATGATTTTAATGATTACAGTAGTGCGCATTTTTGCAATAGCTTTTTTAGGTCATTATGCAAATTCACATTGTTTGAGAGCCCCCTGGATTTTGATCCTCAAATTACGGATTCATTCGATCACTCCTGTGACAACATTATTTTTTTAATTTTCAAATTGTTCCTGAAAATTTAAAGAAATTGATTTTTTAGTGATTTTTATGCGTTTTGTGCTGTGTAACAGCAGTACAAAACGCATATTGTTACGGGGTTGTCT